CATTTCTTGTTCACAATTGGGAAGCCCCACTTGTGACACCATTTCGACACCAAAGGTAAACAATAACTGTCTGTGTGTGAAAGTTTCTGTGTGTTTACATTTGTGTTTACCACTGGTTTCGAGAGTCGTGTGTCGCATGTGGGGTTCCACTAGCATTGCCATAGGACTATAGGAGTAACCCATCACCTAATAAATAATCTTCAAGAATACCACCACATTAATGCCCAAAAATGACAACAGCACACAAGATAAAGGCCTCAAATATTTAAAAGAAACTGCATTTTGTAAAATGCTTTCAGATCCCAGAATCTAAATTATTGTACAATGTAAAACTCATTTTCATCACCTTATATCAACTTCCAAGTATGTTGGAGTCCATGGTATACAATATTACAAAGTTGGTAGAATCATGTACTATGTATAATAATAAATAAATAAACAAAAACAAAAAAACAGTCCCACTCATTCCATAATATTCAAAATTTTGTTTTGATATGTTCAAATGAAAGGGGGAAAAAAAGAGGGGAAACCATGGCAAGAGGGATGCCCATCATATCATCACTGGTAGGTATCAGCAATATATATTTTGCAAAAAAAAAAAAAAAAGACAAGGTAAAAAAGAAGTTTACCATGAGTAAATTTGATGGGGGTCACTCTTCAATAGGCCTATGGATGAAAGATTGGTTCAACGGCATATCCAAACGAGTCGGGGAAAGACAGCTACTACTACTAGCACTTGCTCGTGCACAAGAACTTGTTGTCGCCAGTAGTTCTGCTTGTGGGAAGGAGCTGTTAGAGGGCACCTCCAGCAGCAAGTCTTGCTCAGAACTTTCAGTGGTAAATCCACAAGAGTTAAAGACAAGTGAACTGTTATCAGGCGGCAATGCAAACAGATGTTTTGGGCTGAAGCAATTCCCATCGCTCTCTATGGGTTCCTTGTGTTCTTGGTGGGTGCCTTTGATTGTCACCTTCATGGGACTCTTCATCGCCGCCTTTGCTACTGAAGAAAGGGAAAGTATAATTCATGCTTTTATTATCTCAACTGCTCTAATCCTATAGTGTTAGACATGCAATTGACACTCTTGATATTCTAAAGTGACAATTATCTGAGGACATTTTTTCTTCTTCTATAAAGCGAGGAGTTAAAAGAGAACGACTGTTTAAATCTATAAGGCACACAATGGGCAAAAATGACTAAGGGAGAAACGTAAGAGTTAAAAATGTTGCAAACCTGGAGGCTTTTGATTCTGTCCATCTCGTGATCTTTTAATATTAACTGAGCCAATGTCATCCGGCCCTCCAGCAACTTCATAGCATATCTTGCTATGTTTATAATTTACACCCTAAAAAGAGTACAATATGGTTGAGATACTTTCAGAAGCTTAATAGAAAAAATTGGTGTGTAATTCAAAAAAAAAAAATCAGCTGGACAGATACATGCTTAACAAAGCAACACTATAACTTTTTGAGGACAAAAATCCTCCGTCGCATAAAAATATTTGTTTCACAAAGGTACGACTTTATAATTTTAGTTAGATGAAACTATTGGTAATCATCAAAATATCAAATGTTTTTGAAGTTAATTGTTGGTTTTACTAATTTAATTAAATGACTCAACTTGATTGAAACGCTTTATATACAAAAGCATTAAATATGATGAAAATTAATTTCTCATTTTTTCCCCGAATAGAACTCCTTTTGGGAGAAAATAAATAGATTCTCAAACATAACTACCTTTGAGTCTGAGTTGCTAGTGTTGGTACAAGTGCTTCTTTTGTCTGTACTCTTACATTGTGTTACCGTGTTTACTTTGTTTGTTTATGCTTCTATGTTTGACTCGGGTATCTATTGTAAACTACTACCAAGAAGGAGTAAAGTCTGTATACACATCCTCCACGCCCTCTAAAGGCCCTACTTGTGGGATTTTACTGGGTTAGTTGTTCTTCTTGTTGTTGTATTTCAAGTTAGTGACCCCTACATATTTTAAGCACAAGAATCTTACTTTCGGGTCCACAGGCGAATCGAGTTGCTTTAGATTCTGCATTTCTTCAAGGTGACCCTTTTCCCTGAAATTCATTATCATATAGATAGATGGCCAAGCTCATTATATATCAAAACCAGAAGAAGACATTCAATCCCACAGATTACTGAGTGGTACCTCTTCACTAGCTCACTCTCAATTCCTTGTCCAATATGCTGCTTGCCTCTTTCACTCCCCACATTTTGTGAATTCATGACACCCCTTTTGTCATTATAGTTTTTATAAACTGGAGTAGCCATACAGGAATATGCCTCGTTTATAAGGTGGGTTTTGTTGTCTACAGATAGAGAGCTGGCTTCGGATTCTTCTTCTCTGCCGATTGAAGACGGGTGCTGAATGAGCATACTTCCATGGCCAATCTCAACACATACCATGGTAGGGTTATCACTCTCAAGCAGCAAATCCTCTGCAGAAGACCCAGAAAGGAGAAAAGATCCTTGCTCGTGTAAGATAGTGTGCAGGTCTTTGGTGAGCTTCTCAACAGGAGAAGGCTTTGGGCGAGCGACACATGTTCGCTTCCTTGAAGGCACTGTTGAATCCCACGCATTAGGCTGAGGGGGACCTGGAAGCACAACCAACTGTTAACTGCTTGATGGAGCACACTCAAAGGATAATATAACAGATTTATTTACTGCAACAAGAAATGAGTTATCACATACCACAGCTAAAATAGAAATAGCCAAGTAAATTTGCACAATTTGAAGATGAATATTGGTTTAATCAGTCAAACTTCTAGTTTGCCCCCAGGCTGACTTTTACAACACCGGTTTCAAGAAATTTTCCATTTTGGCCTGCAACTTCCGAGGTCATTTACCGTATAATTTCAAGTTGATTTTTCACCGGATATGTGATCAAAAGTACAAAAAAGGGATACGAATTGAATCCATAGTTGTGAACAAAAAAGTGGAAAAAATGGAAGTCATGGACTACAAAAGTCTTGTAATGGGGCATGACTATAGCAACTATCTCAACCCAAACACACCTGATTATACTCTTTCCGGAGTGGAAGTAACATACGATGATAGTTCTAAAATTCAGTACCATTACTCAAGAAATTGAAAAAACAGGTTGGAACAATCCAATAGAACGACAATTGTAGTACATGCAAATAAAAAATTGTTTAAGGCAAAACTTAAGAAACATGGGGAACCTCTGCATAGGTATGTAGAGTAAATAACTCACCAGTCAAATCACTTACTTCAGTACCACCAAGTTCCACTAGGCTCTCAGAGTTTGAGGCGGCAGAGCCAGAACTTGACCTGTTGCTCATATCTTCATCTAAAAGCCTGTGCAAACCGGGATTATGATCCGGAGGAACTCCAGCCATTGGATAATAATGATTCTGCTTTCGTTTCATAAAACCCTTTTCTTCTTTGTTTCTATAGGATAAAGATTTTCCCTTGAAACCCCTGAAGTTGTCAGAGTCATCCAGATCACTCCTACAATGCATAGGAGTATAGTTTGCCAATGTTCCTTTTGTTCTCCATCGTGACCCGCATGCATTGCACAGAATTGGTTTTTCTGGAGGCCCATTACGCCATAGTGGGGTGCCTAAATGTTAATCCATTGCAAGGAACATGTCAGAGTTGTGTGCTGAGGAACAATGGATGTCAGAATAATCTATGCAACTTGAAAATTTCTAAGTAAAGAAAAAAGAGGGGGAACTTGGAAGGAAATTGTATATAGGGTACAGCATAAAAAATAGGTCCAAACTCAATAAATAAACCTTGGGTATTTACTCAGACTCATTTTTTTAAATATCTTTCTATTATGTAAACACTAAGAAATCTATATACTTGAACCATACACAAAAAAATTAGAAATCTTTATATACAACAACAACCCATCTGGATGTGATAAAAAAATTGAAGTTTCCTTGGCAGTTTCTAATGTAAAGGCAATCATTTTTCCTTTGGAAATTTTTTTATTTCCCTCTCATTTCCGAGTTCTAAACATAGCCTAAAACAATGAGAGCTATAGTTTATTCAGGAGGTTTTACATATTTTGGTACTTCCATATTGTTGCATATTTTTGATTGAGCAGAAAACACTAAAACTAGCATAGTTCAGCACGCAAGAACAGGAAATATGGATTCCTTAACTTTCGTTTACATGCAAGTGAAAAGATGGGTTGGTTTGAAATAAAGAGTTTTAGAGTAGCAATGCAAGATCAATATAGGATAATGGTTGTATGTGGTTCACATTTACAGGGTGATTTCACTGATTTTAGAATCAGAACCACTCTTTCCATCTACGGAGTATTTGGTTTATATTTGGCCAAAATGAGATAGGTGATCCTTTGGGAGAACATCTTTCTTAATCATCTATAGAACATTAAAGTAACTCTTAAGCATCAGCTCAGCCATATCCCGGTTTCATCTGTTGAACATTAAGTAAATCTTAAGCATCAGCTCAAAGAAACATCAACCACTTTTGGGAGACAATATTGTTCAACTAAGTTATACGCCTGTTAAATTATTCTTGTATCCGACAAATTAATCCTTTGGAAACAAGATGCAGATAAGTGACAAAGAACGTGCGTTTACTACAAAGTTAAGAAACTTTGGAGCACGAACCTAGACCGGCCATGTGTTTGGGACATAACTATTCTAATGAATTTCCACACAAGTGGGAAAACAACATATGATGAAGAAATTGAACCTCACTATTTCTTCATAAGAAATTAACACAGTAATGACATCTTCATTTTTCAGTGTGGTTTCTTACACCCATTTATAGTCTTAAGTATTACGGAGTATTTTATTTCAGAGTACTTGACTCTATAAACTTCACGCCCCTGACCTTAACATAGTAATGTGATGAAGGTGATGATGAAGAACATAGAGTCATAGAGAAGATAAGGATAATTCCACACACCCAAATGCTTCTCATTGCATTTTGAAATGAAAAAAGTATGGGACTCAATCCCGAAACTGCTCAGTTGTTGGAGATACAAACGAAGTCAACCAGTCACATTAATCAAGTTAAAAATAGGGCTGTAAGCACTAAGCTAAGGACAGTATACATGACAATTCAGAGCTCCATTTCATAGAAATTTCAAATTTAAGAACCCCAAGGGTTTTCTGGTTGTGGGTTGTCGCGGCTCAAAAATGACCCCAATATAATAATGGAACTAATGCATCTCAAAAACATTTTGTCTCAGTTACACCATTCCAAAGCAAAGTACCATATAAGAATCTGTATGTTTCAAAATCTAATATGTAATACAAACTCATTCACAGAAAATCAAACAATAAAAAAACTCTCAACCCATTTCTTCAATATTCAAATACTTACAAGGAAAAGAAGGGGAAATTTTGAAACTCACTTGTAATACCACAGTGACAGCAAGGTCCTTGCTTTCCCATATCTGTGAGCTTTTTATTCCCCAGAAATCCAACGAGTAAAATTAAATAAATAAAAAAAACAGAAACACCCCTTGGAAAATATAAAAAAAATTCCAACGAAAATGAAGATTTATTTGCAAACACTATTTCAATTGTCCCCTTTCAGTTTTTCTACATGTAGAACAGTGGGTGCGGAGTTTTTCTTCTGCAACAGAGCTTACGCAGGAAATACCATAACCCAAGAAGACCCAGAAGAGTCAGTACCTTAAAGTCCCAGAAAACCCACTGAGAATAACAGTAATTCAAAAATATTTTTTAAAATTTAAAAAAAAAATTAAATACATGAATCAGTCTTGTGTATGAACACGCAATAAAGGGGTTGAGATTTGGGCGTTAAAGTTTCAGAAGATGATATCTGTACAATTCAATGGAAAATGGGAAGGAACCATTGCAGGAATCTAATAATAATAATATAATATAAATGGTTGGAGATTGAAGGTGAAATGGGGAAGGAAAGGGTTAGGAAGGCTTTACTCTTTACTCCCGTATTTTTTTTTCTTTTTTCCTCTTTTTTAATTTTTGTTTTACGGAGGTGTACTTTTCTTATGTTTATTTATTTTTAATTGTAAGCCAATTATGACCTTCGGTTGGAAAGCGTTGAGGCCCTTTATTTGTAGTGTAGGTTGTACTCCCATAATCCCATTTAGAAGCAACCTTGTGGCTTAGATATTCTAATATTAGTCCATTTGCCCTCCAATAATATTTCATATTTTTCTTTTTCATTCTTAATACAAAAAAATCATTTTTTTTTGTTTTTTAGAAACATTTTTGGTGGCTTAATTCTTACTTCTCAACAGTAAAATTTTATTTCTTAATTCTCGTGTCCAATCAATTGTGGAACAAATGTAGTAAAATTTTAAAATAACCAGTTCTTTTGCCATTGGTGTTTGACACTCCTACGATGCTTTGATCTATCCGAAAGTAGTCAGTGACTACTTTCAAATTCCTATTTCTAGCATGTCCCTTTGTGTTAGTTTTGTTTTGCTAAAGTTTCGTGTTTTCATGTTAACAAGTAATATATGTGTTAATGTTTGTTTTAGAGTTTCAGAAACACCAAGAATTCAATTAAAAATGGGTTCTTATTAACGAAGTTGAAATACTAAACTAGCGTAGAACATAGATAGAATTAAATATAAGAATATGATTTTATATGTTTATATTCACTAGCTCAAATGTAGCCACAAAATGTATTTAAAACCTTCTCATAATCATTTTCAAACATCCAAAAGATTTTAAACAATATCAAAAAAGAATTTGCCAAAATTGGAAAAACCAACATAGCGATCTACTCCGTAGTACCTAGCAACTGTCAACCGGGACCCAATTACCACGTTTAGGGACCTCCTTATCGTAACAGCTACCGTTACGATAGTTACGGTAAAAAAGTGTTAGCTTGAGAAGGTACTTCAGCTACCGCCTCAAGGTACTCCTCTACCATGACCCGGGACCCCCTATCGTTAGGCAATATCATAGCTACGGTCTCCAACGGTAAAAATTTTTAAAAATCCTAATTTTATGTAAAATTGTCTTTAATCATCCAAAATCTTTCACAATTGATCACCAACTTCTATACTTCATTTTTTCTAGTGTCTTTTAAGGCTTGTTTTAATTCTCTATATTTTGGCTATATAGAACATTGTTTTTCTCTTGATTTTATACACAAACATTGAGCTTGTGATTTTATAGAATCATCACCCTCCAATAATGACAACAATCCAATCTAGGAGTATAGCTCCAGAAATCAGCACCCTTAATGTACCTACTATGAATCCACTTCACCCAAAGTACATATTTTTTTTCTATGTCCCAATTCAGTCTCATGATGGCAGCTTTGTTCTAGTTTGAAACATTTTTAATGCCCAGGCCTCCATGCTTTTCTTTTAGCATACTTCTTCCCATTTAACCAATGACATTTTTTTGTACTCATGTGTACTCCCCCAAAGGAAGTTTCTGCAAATTGTTGTACGTAACTCTCTTTATAACTTGTTGAGGTAGAATAAAAATTCTGGACCAGAAGGATATCACTCTCATCAATACAGAGTTTATGATTCTGACCCTAGCACTCTATGAGAAGTGTCTAGAACTCCAAGCAATAATCTTATTGGTAATTTTGGTGATCACCATTTCACTATCCCTGGCTTTCAACCTGGCAGTGGTGATTAAGCTACCTAGGTATGTGAATGGCAATTTCCCCATCTGCATCCCAGTTAGTTCAATCAGTTTCTTTTGCTTCTAGTGATCCACTCCCCCAAACACTAAATGAGACTTAGCTTTATTGATTCTCAGTCCAGTAACCTTCCTAAACTCCTCCAAAGTTCTCATCAGACATGATATGGAACTCTCATCAGCTTTACAAACCACAATTAAATCATCAGCAAAACAGAGGTTAACTATTCTCATATCCCTACACATAGGATGGAAGGAGAATCTTTCTCTATTTATGGCTTCTTGGAAACTCCTAGTCAGCTCCTGGCACATTAGAACATTATGGATAAGCTCTCTAGCTACCCTGTACAAATGCACCTTGGTTATTATTAACTAGATGTGGCAGCACTTCCTTCAGTCTCATACAAATGAGCTTAGATATAATCTTGTATATAGTGTTACAGCAGGCTATTGGCCTATATTCAGCAGGTCCAGATGGATTTTCTGTCTTAGGAATTAAAGTCAGGCTAGTAGCATTGATCTGAATAAGTGTTCTCCCTTCTTTGAAGAAGTCTAGGACTGCTTTTGTGGTCAGTTCACCCACTATTTTCTATTGGCCTTTGAAAAACTCACTGTTGTATCCATTAGGGCCAGGAATTTTATTACTAGGTATGGAAAAAAGAGCCTCCTTAACCCGTTGGGGGCTAAATGGTTGAATGAGCTTGATTTGTTGCTCAAAATTCAGAACTTTACCCCTCTTCAATGTTTCCTTATCTACTTCAACAATCCCATTTCTTGTCCCCAGTAGCTTAGTATAGAATTGTTCAAACACTTTAGCAATCTCCTCTGTACCTTCAACCATATCTCCCTTTTCTGTTCTAATATTCAGCACTTGATTTTGAATCCTTCTTTTCTTGACCCAAGCATAAAACAACTGAGAACTTTTATCCCCTTCAATAATCCAATTCAGCTTGCTTACCTGATTTTTCATAGTATGGGAGGTTTTTATTGCTTCATGCAATCTGGTTGCAATTTCCTTTTCCTTTTTTCTCAGCTGAATAGTTAAGGGATCTCTTTTTATTTTTTCCTAAACTCCCAGCAACTCCTCTCTAATGTCATCAACCTTCTGATGAATCTCTCTGTAATTTATCTGGTGCAATGTCTTAAGAGGTTCCTTGAGCCTTTTTAAATTTTGTGTCAGCTGATACATGCTTCTATCTGACCCTTCAGTTAACCAATTCTTTTCCATAATCCTATGAAATTCAGGATCATCCATCCACAAATTACAGAACCTGAAAGTGGTGTTTCTTTGAAGATTGACATTAGTTACTAATAAAGGAGAGTGATCAAATATCCCTTCATTCAATATTTTTGTTTTAGTATCAAACTTCACCATCCATCTGTCATTTGACATTGCTCGATCAAGCATAGACCAGATCCTACTTTCTGGTTTTTATTTATTTGACCATGTGTGGTAAGGGCCTTCAAAAGGTAACTCTTCCAGCCCATTCTCCATTACACTCTCTCTGAAATCCTTCATTTCCTCTTATGTGGCAGGGTTACCCCCTTCCTATTTTCTACTTCTAATATTGTGTTGAAGTCTCCCACACAGACCCAAGGATTAGTCATGTGTCTAGCATATTCCCTCAACTTACACCAAAGTTGCTTCCTATCTCCATTGTCATTAAATCCGTAGACGATAGTAATGTAGAAGTACTCATTATTCATCAGGCTTCTGACTTTACAATGGACAGTTTGCGCTGAGCTATCCATAATCTGAATATGAACTTTATTTTTGTTCCACACAACTCAAATTCTCCCCAGATGGTGGTGTTCAATGTTAGAAAATCTGCCTCAATTACTGAACATGTTATTCAAAATCATCTCCTCTTTCTCATTTTTTATCTTAGTTTCCAGGATACCCACTATACTTAAACTGTATTTATTAACCAAATACTTAACTTCCCATTGCTTGTTAGCGCTATTAAGCCCCCTAACATTCCAGCAGAATATCATGTTAAAAAGGGATAGTGACAGTGGGTTTCTCTAACTTCTCCCACTTTCCCCAACATATCATCTACTGTAAGCTTCCTTGCACTTTTCTTTTTACTGACCATCTGAAAACCCTCATTTTCATCCTCTCTTTGTGGGGTATTCTACTCTTCTTTTTTCTCTTTATTTTCATCTTTTTTCTCTGTTCCTCCATTCTCTCCTTCCTCCCTGTTTGGTTTGGTTGATCTTGCTTTTGTTTAGGCCTTCATATTTTTTTGGAGGATTCTTCTCTTCTTGTTTCTTTCTGCAAACCTCATTAGTATGTCCCATTCGATTGCATTTGGAACAATATACAATTTTATCTACTATATATTTTGTTTAGTTATAGGTTAAAACTTAAAATAATTGAATACAAAAAATAAAAACTAGAACAATAATCAGCTAATAGTCACTAGTATATTTGAAATGTTTTAAGAGAGTTCAATATTTACTCATAGTATTTTTAATTTTTATAATGCTAAAGTGACGTGGTGTTGCCATGTGGAATATGACGCGGCGTGATGTGGATTGTGGAAGGGTAATTAACCAGCTTATGTGACGTGGCTTGTATTCGCTTGCCGTTTCTTCTTCTTCTTCATTTTTAGGAGTCTGTCTGGAGAAGGGAAAAGAGAGAAAGCTTAAAATCACCATCGCTGAAGCTGCCGCCGAGATCGATCAAGCCCGCATTGTCTGTTGTCCTTGATGAGATCACGGTAGGGACGATTCTTTGTTTTGTTTCCTTTAATTTGTATAAAATTGCTGTTTTTTAAGCGTGATCTAATCGAGCATCTTTCTGATTCAATTCTGTATTTCACTTTTGTAAAACATTCTGCTTCCCATTTTCCATGGTTGAAACTGTTCACAGAATCTCTGCTTTCAAAGATTGCAGATGGGGGCATAAATCTACCTAGAAAAAACCTAGGGTTACACCAAGTTTATACCCCAAATTGCACCCCCAAGTGTATCACAGAAACACATAAACAAAAGTTGTCTGTGCACCGCATCTTCCTATCGTCTCTACAGTCTGATAAAATATGTTAGCATATGAGCAAATGCTTAGTGATCTGCAAAGTTTTATTTTTTTTAATTGAATCTGAAGTGAAATGTAGCTAT